CAACAACGCACACCTGTCTGGACGCACGCCACAGGCAGAATTATGTCCCCACACTCTAACAGCACCTCCTCACTCCTGTACAACTTAGATATGACTTAGCTCAGGTTATTTATATGTTCATTTCTAGAGGTTTGGCAAGGAGCTAAATAAAGCTTATATTTAAAAATGAAACGTCTTCCAGGATCAGAGGAGAGGCTCCATACTAGATGAGCGACATTTGAGTAAGTACTTCTAAAGCCAGATTAAGTTTTTTAAGCAACTGCTAAAAAATTAATGAGGTTTAATGTGACCTATTTAGGAGAAACAGTTCTTTGTTGTGTTCTACGAGAAGACTAATCTGCCGATGAAAACATAAATAAATAAAACCCTATCCCCTTACACCCACCCCCAGTCAAACCCAGGGCTTTGCGCTGGCTTTGCTCTTGCGGCACAAGCATTCTACCCCCGAGCCACACCCCCAGCCCTCATAATCCCTTCTTTACTGGATCTATCTATGAAAATAAAGGGGAAATACTGTGAGGGCAAAAAAGTGAGTCAACAGTGTACACAGTGTACAGTTACAGGAGAGTTTCACATCTACCTTTACTGAAGATAATTCAGCTGAAAAGTTGGGGTTTCTTTGGTACCAGAAGCAGCAGGACCCCCTCCAATTCCTAGATACTGCAGTAGCTCTCATGGCTAGAAGCTCTCAGCGTTGAAACCCCCAGTCCACCAGGCCTCACACCCCCTTCCCTCTCTGGTCTGAGGGAAGTGACTTCTGTTCTCATTCGAGAAGCGCCTTCTCTGCTAAGAGAGTCCCGGGGTGTCCTCCAACAGGACAATGCCATGGACCCTGTAGATGGTCAATGGATGTTAAGTGACTGCTACGGAGGCCTGAACCCTCCCAGTGGACCACAAATGCTGATCTCAGGATCTCTGGCACTTTCTAAAATGTGGCTGAGCAGTAATTTGGAAGCCTAAACCCTGACTTTAGGAATTCATAAGAACAACCCATGTTTTATAAACTCGACAGAAAGTAAAATAAACAAACCCAGGGTTTTATACTCCCTCTTGTTATTTTTATGGCAATCTTTCAAACTAGTTCACAATGTTCAGTCTTCTACCCTCTCAAGAAATACTAAATTGGGGGTGGGGGAGAGAAAGCAGTGATTTAATAGTAACCAACATATGTACGCTGTAATTCACCATGGGGGAATAACTCACTGGAAGGAGACGCTGTGGTAAAAGAAAGCAGGTGACGCTCAAGCTGGCACTGAGTTCTCTCTCCTTCCAACCCTCTCGTGGGGGGAGGGGGTAAAAAACAAGGATGTTTATATTTACCCAGAAGTGCGCATGGCAATTGACCATCATGGTTCTCTCAATGAGCTCATCAGGGCATTCCAGAAGGTGATGTCCAGACACCACGCCGGCATTATTGACCAAGACCGAGACCTCGCCCACTTCCTTGCGGACCCTCTCCGCTGTCAGGTAGACATTTTCTCTCTTCCCCACATCACAGGTGTAGGTAAAAACCTGCAAGTTACAGTGGGGCAGAATCTCTTCCTCACCATTCCCAGCTGTCCTCAGAAGTCCAGATGAGAGGGAAAATGGAAGAGAAGGGGGTGCAGAAAGTGAGTCACGTGGTAATCAGTAGGACAAAGATCACACTAAACAAAAACACTACAGTGAGCTTCAGATTTCTAACACCCTCAGGCTTGCTGATGACCGAACTTACAGCTGTTTTCCTGCCCCCAGGCCCCCGAAGTCTCTGGGAATTACAGTAATTTACTGGATAACTTTGCTTAGGGAAAAGTCATTTAATTGTGACAAGCCCAATACAAGCAGACCACATGGGATCAGCTTGCTGGAGTTAAAGACACCTGCAAAGAACTGATGTCAGCCCAGAGAATAACACACACATTACACATTCCCTTTTTTGGCGGGGAGGGTGTGTGTGGGGGAGCTGAGAACAACACACATTATACACACCCTGGGGGGGGGGGGGCAGCAGCCAGACACAGCTTCTAATATTTAGCATGAGCATCCTCAAAATAGAAACTGATGTCAAGGTTCACAAGTGAAAATTTAAATAATACTGTAATTCACCCAAAGCCACAAAATAAAGTTTCTCTGAAAAATGGAGATTACTGCTTTTGTAGCCGACTCCCCTAAGAGGTATCCTTACAAATCAAGTTTACAGGTAAATATGCAATTTTACCACATAAGGAGTCAAAAAAAAACCCTTAAAAGCCAAACTCACACCGCTGAGGAACGAGCATCCTGATCTTTAGGTTTGGGAAAGGAGTGCACAAAATTTATATTTGCTATCCCTCCATACAGTGAACACTCGGCATTTTCAAGCAGTTAAAAAAAGGAAGGTGCCAGTAAACTCGGTAACAAGAGATCAGTACAGGGGAGGGGTGTGCCTGAGTCAGTCCTCATGCGGTCAGTGTTTTCCCTGGAAATGAATTTCGCCAACAAGCAACAGCCACCATCGGATTTCCTGGGCCTGTATTTACTTATTGGTTGGTTATGAACTCCGTTTAGGTTTTTAAAAAAGTGTCTCCGATTCAGGCTAGTTAGTATACAAAAATGCAGACCGGGGCGACCAAAAACTTGGAAGAAATTTACAACGAGGCTACAACTCTTCAAGCACTTTCTCCCGAGGCCAGGCAGCTCTGAGGGCAGCTCCGGGTGCGAGGCTAAAGCACTTACTTATCACTGGTGAAACAATGTAATTATCCCCCCACTCGCACCCGCGCTACAGTTACAAGAAACCATCAACACCGTGCTAGTCTACGAGGTCGCGACCACAGTAACAGATACAGGCTTTAGCCCAGTCCGGGAACAACTTCCTAAAGACACTTTAGTTTCCCATTATGCCGCGTGCAAGTCCGAGTGAGATAATTCTCTAGAATCCCCATCTGTGGCAACAAGTTCCGTCTGCCTTTCTACCCTCAGCGGGCTTGCTTGGGCAACACGAGTCGGGGCCGAGAGGCTGGCTCTCCGCGAGGACCGGGCTGGCACTCTTCCCTTCTAACACAGAGGTGATCCTGCTGCGATCGGACAAATTCCACCCGTCTGCCAGAGACCAGCAGAATTTCGTCTTTCCTCGAGAGCGAGGCTGGCCCGGCGGGGGCTCGGGGGCCCTCCGGGGAGGGCGCGGGTGGGCAGGGCTTGACCCAACAATGCCCGGGCGCGGGTGCGAGTTACCTTGCAGCGCGGCGGCATCGGCCGCCTCCAGGTCGCGGTAGATGTGGCGCACCATGCCCGCCGTCTCTTCGTTGCTCTGCGTGTTGATGTCCCAGAGCACCAGCAGCGCCCGGCGCCGGGCGAACTCCAGCGCGAAGAGGCGGCCCAGGCCGCTGCCCGCGCCCGTGATGAGGCACACCTGGCCGGCCACGCTCTTCTCCTTGGGCCGCACCAGCCAGCGCGCCGCGGCCAGCACGAACGCCCAGAGCACTTTGAAGGCGACCACGAAGAACTCCACCACGATGTTCATCGCGCCGCCGGGGGCCCCGCGCGAGCCCAGCGCTCGAGTCCTCGCCCTCCCCGCGCCCGACAGTCCAGGTCCGCGATCCCGGGCGATTGTCACCGCGGCCGGGACGAGAAGCCCGCGCCCAGC